TTACACTCTCACTCAGTGACAACATGGGACCATCCATTACTGCATAACGGTCCAAGTTGTCAAATCTCCTATCAGCACAAGTAATAATGCAGTAAGATTAGAGATGAAGAAAGAGAGGAAAATCGGCCAAAAGCGGTAAGATAGGAAGTTAGAATAAGAAAATGAATTCAGCATAGCTGTTCGAATGAAGATAATGTATGGATGCATCTGCGTCGCTGACGTCGATTCTGAACGATACCACTCAAAGTTTCGAACTATTGGTCACGACGACCGCAACTAGTTAGTCTGCATCTCCCAACATGGATCAAACCACCAACCAAAGACTTCATGCACTGATTCCATGTTTAAGTCTGCCCCTCCCCAGCCTGAACATTACCTCGGCTAAGATTGTATGACCAGCCATGTGTAAAACATCCTATCCGTCTCAGTCGATGAAGGTTCATGAACTTATCAACTGACTTTTATCTCCTCCATAAAACTATACACTTGAACCTGCATTACCGGCGTGGTGATTTCACAATACATGGGCTATGCTATGAAGACAACGGTAGTCAAGAGCAAGAAGCCTTCTCATGTCCTCTACCTTTAATGGTCGCGTTTCATAACCATAGAGTAAACTGCGGCATAGTACACTTGGCCTTTAGTAGGCAATCAGATATCGCGGTATCGCCACAGATGGTAAAAACTAGTCGAGTTTCTTGTATCCCTACAGAGATTTTGTCGGCAACTGACCTTACCGGGTTGATCCGACATCTCAGATAAATGAAATGGTCAACTACTTCACTCTATTTTTAGACAGGGTACTGCAATACCCAAGTTTTATTTGCACAGTAATGTAAGCGAAAGACCTTGAAATGCAAATACTACCATGCCTAAACTACATGATAAGTTGTTCACAGGTAGATCCATAAGAGCTAACTGAAACACTTTATTCGTAAAATGATTGCAAAATGAATATTAATGCATTTCTTAAGCAATTTTACGCAATTTCTTCGCTTAATTTCCTTTCAAGCGAGAACAGCAAATAGTTTTAGCAGGACACCAAGGGTTCGTTTTGTTCTAAAGTTTCTCATCAGCTGCTTTCAATGTTAATACAAAAAAACTACTTACATAGTTAAAACAATTTTTAATATAAAACTATCAGTGTGAAGAAAAGATAACACTCATGCCATGTAACTGGAGCCACGAGAATATAATGATTATAGCTATAAGGATTAATGTCGTCTACATATAGAAAGTTTAACGAATATTCTTGTGACAAGAACGAAATTTGGACGAAAAAGGGTGGCAAGTATATCCTGGACATTGAAAAGTTTGTGAGGTTAAAATATAAATAGGTTAGTCAGTCTATACTAGCTAAGAAAATAAGATTAGTACAATCCAGACAATCAGGTCGAGTGTGAAATGAAACAAACGTTATTGGTATGAAGTCATCACCCGTTCGTCTGCTGTATTACAAAAAACATACGGGATAACAACTACAGGTAACCAATATTTACTGCAAATCTACCAAATATATAATCTTCTCAACAATGCAAAGTCAGTGTTTTCATGAAATTATCAGAAGTCCAAGACCTGCAGTATTTTACCAGTATTCATATTCTAGAAACTAGAAGTGCGGCCTTACTTCATGTTATTTAATGAACATAATTTTCTTGATATTATAGTTTGTGTAAGGGTTGAGTAACTGTTCAGACATCCAGACAAAGACCACTTTCAAAGCCTATGACGTAAAACTGAATCCACAAGATAATGACACAATGTCTGAATCAGCATATTCATAGTTTGTGCTGAACAGGTAGATTCATCTGCTATTCTTTCCTTCATGAACCCACAACTTATGTGTACTGCCATTTCGAACTCAAGGTTTTCCAACTATTTTACGTATTCCTGCTGTCTGTCATTTCGATGACTTCCATCGAACATTCAATCCCACCGTTTTACTTCTGTAGAAACATTAAAGTTACACAAAGGTGGTGAATAAGACTCCTCTTGTATAGGTTATAAACAGCTTTTCCAAAGTTGGACCTACTTATCATATCACGGAATCGGGTGGGGAGGATTTTTCTCTAGTTTATTTCCCAAAATCATAGTAAGGTTTTATTTGCAAATAATGCCTTGAAATTACTCTGAAATGACCAATAATTAAATTCTACAACAGTCAGTGGGACCTAACGAAAGCAAACACTTCACATAAGAAAATTCAAGCTTACAGCCTTCACATTTATTCTCAAACTATTTCGGATGACAATAATAATCATACGTCAGTGATAATTAGATCAGTCGTGGCTAGCAGAGGAATCCAGGACGTCCGTCTCGTCCTATTTGGGACTCGTTAGCTGGATGTACCTGCACCCCAAGTGAGTGATGTTGTGCCCACTTAGACACGAACCTCGTATCCATCGCTTCAAACGCCAAGGCGTTATCTACTAGGCCACTGAGGCACGGATAGCCACCTCTTGTACAACGGGTATTAGTTATTACTATTTACTGATATACTTGTAATTCTAGGTTGTTTCATTGGATCGAATTCTTCGATCTCCATTGGCACATGGGCTCCTATGAGGATGCTTCGATATTGTCCGGATGTTAATTATGGTAATTTGGTTGGTTGTGGCTAGAAGAGGACGCGCGTTTTGTCCTATTTGGGACGCATCATTCGGGCAATATCGAGGCATCCGCATATGACCCCATATGCCATTGGAGGTAAAACGATTTGATCCAGCAAAACAACGGAGAATTCTAAGTATATCAATAAATATCATGACTGAATAGAAGAGGTCACCTGAGACCAACCGCTCTTAGATTAAATTTATTCCGTCACCTTCTACTGTTACTATTGTAATCCATATGCCTCACACTTTTGACCAACGCTACTTTCACCAACTTTGTTTTTGAATAAAATGATACTATCTACAGTTAATGTGTGTTAGTTTCACAAACTCCTCTTTTATATTTGATGTTTTTATTGAAGTTAAAAAAACATCTAGTTGGTTTTATGATCATTGCGCATTGTAAACACATTTTCTTTCAATCACACAAACAGTGGCTACACAACAAAAATTTAATATTAATTTAGTATTATACCGCTTCAAATTGTTACAGAAAACTAGCTTCACTGGATTATTTGAAGTGTGAATCCAAATCCAACTATTATCCATCGTCGTCCGTGTTTATATCCAAGCGTACATGCCAATCGTCTCGACATTTACCCTCATCTTGAACATACACCAATCCTTCTAAAAGTCACTTGTTCTCAAGAGAATGTCTTCTTCACTGAAAAATCTCAAGAAATATCGGTGTGTGCATAGCCTATACAAAGTCTACTTATTTCCAATCCTTTTTCACACACTCGTGAATATCCCTCACCTTGCCTTATGTAACATTAATATGGTTTGACTTAAATGGGTAATTAAACCTCCTTTGTGTTTTGAATTGTAATATTACCCTGATCTTTAAAACACTAACCGGTATCTTAAAACGCGCCATGTAAGCTGTGTTAGTACTTGTTATAGTAACTTATTTATTCAGGTTGTATGCAGCTGATAAAAAGCCTTTGAGGAAAAATGACGCCATCTTATTCAGCAAATTGTGTTATTCAAATAAATAAAGATAACCACCCTCACTGATCAGAGCAGCCTTTCCTGCTATTCACAGTAGACTTTCAATTAATCTAATGATCTGTAAGAGTGCGATCGCCATTGAGAAGTGTAACTTAAGACCAATAAAATGTATCAGACTCCTGAAAGTCTGGAGATGCCCCTCCCTATTTCAGCACGGCCATCGCTAAGTTTATGCAGAAAAGGGAAACACTTTACACCATGAGTGATTGAATATGCTTACTATCTGTGCTTGAGTTACTCTAAAAAGTCTGCCATCTATCTATACACTATCGAAACCTACACATGTGATCGAAATAAACTTGTTATGTTCGGTAACAGTGCCCCATTAGAAATGATGGTAAGTGTGAATTAGTTATCATTGATACTTAACAAGGGTTGTTCAAGAAACTCTGAAACGAAGAGTATAGTTTTACCAACAGAAGTAAATGAAAAGAGCAATTTCAACAATGAGAAGTGTTATTAAGATAACTGTCACATTATTCAGCATCAATAAATGTATAACAAAATTTTCGAATCTAAACTGTGTCGATACAAGTGAGTATATAAATGTATTTTGCAACAAATACAAAGTGAAGGTAATCACGTCCAATAAAGTTAAAAAAAGGAACGAAGTGATTGTTGTTTGATATAAAAAAAATTGAATGTCTTAAAGACAAATAGATGGAGATAGGAAACACAATTAAACGTAAAAATCGACATCCTATTGTCAACCAATTCATGAAAAACTGGTTTAAAGTTTGACAAATATTACTCAATAACCGTTGGTCTGTTATGTGTGCGTTAGAAAACTTTTTCACGATGTATTGAAACATTGAACACACTACAGTGTATACCTGAAGATAACAGGGAGGCGTGGTGATATTCTAAAATTACTTATTTATACATATCATTTTTACAAAACAATGTGCGCCAACGGACTTTATTCATTATATGACTGTATGAATGATTGGTTGGTCAGTTAGTTAGTTAGTTAGTTGAAACAAAAAAAGATAATCAAAATACTGAAAAATACTTCAAAACGAGACAAAAATTAAAAAGAAAGTAATAACAAAACACGCGGAAACAAAAAAAATGATTTTGAAGGCAATTCGATGCTGGTAGTCGAAGATAATAATCATTTTAGGAAAGATGTGATTAATGAGTAAATATATCACTGAAGACATCCATTTAAAAAATAAGAAACAAAGATGATTTTCAGGCGACAGAAATAATAGAAGATATCTATTTCAACGTACAAGGTAGCCCACAAAACTCAGATATTCATTATTTTTTGCTACACAGGAATTTATGATTATGTATATATATGCATATACTTTAAAAACACCTAAATATCTTATGAGATTTGGTGGGAAAATGGTGCAAATATAACTTCTAACTCTATAGAGTTGAGATAGTTGAAAATCCCGTAGCATTTGCCAGAGCAGAATTCAGTGCCATACTTCGATTAGCTGAGATGGCGAACAAAGGAATGTGATAATACTTGCATGGTACACGTGTGCACCTGCCTTTAGCTGCATCTCGACATACAATCACACGACCTTGGTTGACTTCGACGTTTTCTGAATACGATAGAATAGAAAAATGATGATTAAAGTATTTAGAAAGCTCAATGTCCGACTATCTCCCTACATTTATTTCGCAATATTAGGAAGCTAACCTCAAATAATCCCAAATCGCAACTAGGTAGTTTAATTACTGAGTAACTAACTGCCCACATAGTCAGAATGAAGATCACGTTTAAGTGGACAAGTAATAATACCTAACTCCCTGCTCCTGACGCTGAGCGAACGATTTCGTAATAACCTCAACCTACAACTGACTTATTTGACACTGTAACACAATTGATAGAGAGCTTAATAACGCTTATTAACTACTCCTAAAACTATTTACCAAAAGGTCGATCTACTGCTAAATATCATTTCCAATTTCTTGGAAAGTACCGTTTCGACCAACAGCGGATCATTTGCCATGAAAGGACAAAACTTACATCTTCGATTCTTTGTTTTTCATTAGTTTTCAAACAAGTAGCAAATATAATCCTACTGGATAACAAAGGTTTAACATTATTTACACCAGTACCTACAATTGACACTGAATTGCAGACTCACTTAACGTTTCTTGCAATGACACTAAGCAACTAATCAACCCAACCAATCGTCAGTAAACTTTTTAGCACACATGAAATTAAACTCAAACAAACTACACGCAAGTTAAATGACATAACTGAATACTTCAAACTCACCGTCAACAAGATGAACATAACGACACTCTGAATTACGACGACATTTCCCAGCTTTGAAATCGCGACATATTGGCAAAGTTTCCAGAAGCTGAAAATAAATTTTATATATTCTAGGCTACAGTGAACAAAAAGAAATGAACGATCTTGAATATCAAAATATTCTTTCACAGACTAATCTGACTGAACAAAGTAATTCTGACAGTAACTTGCATCTCACCCTAAACATGTCTTTAAATATAAAAAACATGGGACATTAACTACATTCGCATTTATACACTTAGTTATGAATCACGCTTGTGTTCAGAAAAGATGCTCTCACACAGACGGATTTAAAAGAAAGTTTCCGCTACGCATGAAATTCGTTACACCATATAAAAAAAACATTCATACAACGCATCACAAGTGTATATGTTCCCGGTATCACAAAAGTGAATCTGTTGTTGGTTGATTTCTAAATACAACTTATTGACTGAAGTTCGGATGGATAGATAGATAAATACCATCATGAGCTTCAGGAATTTGCAATTGAATGGGAATAGACTGAAGGTCAAGAAAGGTAGTGCAATAAAAGTATGAAGTATTTCAACATAAGCAATTGTAATATATATGATTATTCTAACAAATAATACTCTCATAATTTATTCGTTAGAACACCAACAGCGAACTAAATAAGTGGGATAGTTCGTTTTAACTAAACGACGAAATAAAGCAAACACTTACATGGCCTTTTTCGTTGATGTAGGCTACATTTGTCATTGGATTTTGTGAGTAGAAATTGTTAGTTCCATAAGGACCAGATGTAAGACTCGTCCCTAATGAACCTGAAATGCAAACATCGAAAAACGTTTATGAGAACAAATGAATAATTACACTAGGTCAGAAGTAGATTATTCAATAGGAAAGCCATCATACTAACCTAAAGAAGTTGATTACTAAGATGAAAATTCCAAATAACCATGCAACTTAAATGTTGGGTGACCCCAAATTACTTAAATAGTTTATAAAAACATAGTTCACTTAACTACAACATTTCGTGTAATAAAACACTATTCCTGATGACTTCAGTCACCATAACTAGTGTTTAGTCCTTGATCAGATCAAGAGTTTCGTGCTTTACTTCATTACACTTCAGAAAATTGACTGTATAAACTGACAGGAATTCAACGAATCCGTTTGACTAAAACAGTCAGTTAAGCAACCAACATAAAATGCAAAACCACTGAAATAATGAGATGTTCATCTTAAAAGGCTAAGCTACACTGACCGAGAAATATCAGTCCATCTTAATGACTAAAGAAATTGAAGTTATCTACCGTCCCAATATTATGAACTTTAACAAAAAGTGCAGAGAAGGCACACTTGTATTCCCAGAAAATGCAAGTCAATTATTCCTACTCATATTTCCAACGATCATCGGGAAAGTTTTTTTCGGTAAATTATCTCTTCTCATCACACTAGTTACCACTAAAAAATCAGTCCTCCAGAAGTATTTATATCTACAATGATTAAAAAAAATTGTCCAAAACCTAAAATGTTGTAATTTGCCCCGGAACCACCTATCCACAAACTAAACCCTTTTTCCAACTAATATACTATCTAAAACAAAAATGAGTTTTCATTTTGTCGCTTTCAGAACAGACCTGCTTGGTAGTTTAATCTTAGCCAGTTTAACAGATAGGTGTAGTTAGCTAAAGAAGAAATACATAATTAGGGGTCCAGTCTTGTCACACGTGTTAACGTGAGCCAAATGCTATTAGACAGTACAAACAATATCCAGAATAAAAATGTGTGCGAGTACTACAGATCTGCAAAAAACAGACATGTAAGAAGGATCCAACTGGACTATTTTAAAACATCATTAATAAGGACTTATGATAATACACGGTTTCCCAGGCCGAATTAGGTGGAGGGATTTGAGCTCAGGACACTGCTTGAAACTTGAGTTCTTAAGACAATGAACGCCGCTTGGCCAGCACACGACCTCTGTGACTATATATCTAATTTACCAATATATTTCCAAACGAATCACTTGTTTATTTTCTCAGTTAAAAGCTTTGAAAGTACTTGATATAACTATGAAACTGATTTACTTCAACTAACTAAGAATTCTGTTGCCATAGGAAGTATACCAGTTGAGAATATTGTGCTTGTGTAATGTGTCGGCATCTTCACCCAGAATTTACAGAAACACAAGCCTAATCTGAATCTCTCGAGAATCCCATAGTTGATCATGGCTCATACATACAAAAACGTCAGCAGAGATGAAATTACTATTCTAAATACGATTATCAGTAGTCCTGATCTCTCTAATCACTGGTAGGATATATGACTACAAGTTTGTATCCACAGGTAAACAAAATGATGACTGGAATCCACTTAATCAACCTGAAGTAAAATAACGAGGAAGCCTTTAACCTGCACCTCATGAATGCGTACGTAGGAACCTTTAACCTTAAAATATTTAGTCATGTACACGGTTACCAAGTAAAGAACCACGACATCGGATAAGTGTATAATTAGTCCTACAAACGGACTCTACCCAGCACAGGAAGTAAACTAATGGTGTACAATGTCGCGATCTACCAAATGAATCTGAAGTATGCAGATAATTAGAATAAGAGTACACTACTTGTATAATGAAGATCTATGTTCTACCATTGCATATAAGGTGTAAATGTGACAATCTTTAGGCATCCTTCAGTCAGATGAATAGACAAAACAAGATACCTTACGAGATAGACACAGACTGAGTTAAATTGATGATTATCATATTCATCTTGGCGCATTTCGGCCCCTTTGAGACTCGTCAACTGCATGTATCTGCACCCCAGTGACTGACGTTGTCCCCACTGAAACTCGAACCCAGTACCCGTCACTCCAACCGCTAAAAGCGCTATCCACTATGCCACTGGAGTACGATAGTCACTTCTTGTGAGACGGTATCGGTTGTTGTTTTGATACTTGTAATTCCCCATTGCTATGAAGGGTCGAACTGTTCGACCTCTGATGATTATCGTAACAATAGATCATGTCACACTGAGATAATTCATCTTGTTGGAATCACAACGCTGTCAATGATACAAGTATGTTACAGATGATAAGTCGAAACACTTCAAAAATAGTCTATTCAATGAATGTGTTTAGTATTTTCAATAAGTCGCCAGCGTGTAGGAAACAGAAATATCAAACAATTATCAAACTAATTTCTTCTGAAAACGAATACTTCAGTTTTTATCTAAAAACAATCTCGGAAAGCGTCAAGTTAAAACATGAGCATGTTCCAGCTGAAAATAACTTGCGAATAAATAGATATATACTCATAAACACAAATAAAAGCTGATATAAACGATATGTCATTTACCCCAGATGGCTAGAACAGAACAAAATATGAAGTACAAATAAATGTTAAAAACATTAAAAATATGCCTTATATACAACAAAATCAACCTCGCCTGGTTAACTAGTTCACTGTTTCAACTACAGGTAGCGGCACAGGCACAGACGAGGATGTCAAAGTCAGAATCGGAAAAGCAAGACAGGCGTTCATTAGCCTGAAACCAATGTGGAGATCTTCCCCACTCAGCATGAAGCGTGAACAAGATCCGGATTTTCAACACCAACGTCAAATCAGTGCTTCTGTATGGTTCAGAGACTTGGCGCGTCACGAAAGGGATTTCCAATAAACTACAGACATTCATCAACAACTGCCTACGCTCGCTACTAAAGATCAGATGGCCAGAAAGAATAAGCAACAAGGAACTCTGGTCTGCCAACGAACCAACCAAGAACCTATCACGCAACAAATATGCAGGAGGAAATGGAGGTGGATTGGGCATGCACTGAGAAGGCCGACTGGGGACATCACACGTCAGGCCAGTCGCTCGAGTGGAATCCCCAGGGGAAGCGACGAGTTGGACGTCCGAGGGTGACATGGAGGAGGTCGTGCGAGGAGGAAATGAGAGCTTCTGGGCTGTCGTGGAACCAGGTTCAAAAGATTTCAGAGAACAAAGGTCACTGGAGACGTGCTACTGAAGCCCTATGTTCCACCAGGAACCCAAGGGACTAATAAATAATAAAATAATACAACAAAATCGAAACAATGAGTCAAATTAAAAAATGCAGGAAAACATACAAGACGAATCTAGTACGCATCCAGGATTTTGGAGAGTGGGAATCGGAGGCAATCGTGATGCATCATTTTGTGACAGGTATCCAGCTGCTGCCACCTGAGCTGCAGCCAGTTGAACTTGTTGACTCCGAAGAAGGAGAGATAACAGAAGAGCCTGTTGTTGCTGTTGAAAAGCAAAATTTGCATTATTTGCATGTATATCAGGAGATGGAGACTGTTGAGTTGCAGCTAAAGCTGCAGCAGTGGCTAGAGTTGATGGTACATATGACGAATATAGACCAGGTCCAGATAACTGTGGATTTGACACTGTAGGCAACTGAGTACGCAATAATTGATGAGACGGTATTTGTTGTTGTTGCTGTATTAAAAAATTGTTCAGTGCCAAGGCTGCAGCTGTTGAAGCCATAGATGTAGAGGCATCACAACTATTATTCATAGAATACAGTGGTGAATATAAGAACTGAGATGGTGCATAAATAGAAGCGGTAGGTTGCGAGGAGAATGGAAGTCCATAAATACTCATATTTAAGGGATTCAAGATAGTTGTTACTTCGGCAGTGGCATGAGGCCCCCCTACCTCTGTACATGAATTTATTGGAATGAATCCAGGATTGACAGGACCACAGGTGAAAATAGTAGGAAATGATGTTCCAGATTCAGAAGAAAAACTCTTGGAGTCACAATTTTGGAAAGAACTTTCAAGTTTATCATCACCATTACATGAGATGATCGATTCCTTATTCTGACTCACTCCATCTAGCGATGATGAGGTAGATATATTTGCTTTTTTCGTAGGTAACCATTTCTATTTTTGAGAAAAAGGATGAGATTCAATAAAAGAAATTAAAATAGGGTTCAATAAACATTTCGAAGCAATGAACACGATTGTAACAGATTCAAATACATATAAAGTCAAAACTTTTACTCCTTCCGAAATTAACGAAAGTACAAAATGCAAATAAATGGGTCGTTTTGGACAGCTTAATTACTCGCAACTAATTGGTTGATGAATCTCAAAATATATCTCATTCTTCGTTCCGTGATCTTTAGCTTTCAGAGGATGTTTAAACCAGATGATTAAAACTTTTCTGAAGACGAGAAATAATTTTTTTTCGATGGAAAATCAAGCTAATTACATGAAAATGTGTGTAAGATTAGTCGAATTCCACACAATGCGATTGCGAATTTCCCGTTGTAAAAATAAAAATTGTAAGTTGAGTTATAAACACAAGTTATTGCTGTCTTTCATAATTTCTTCAAACCCAACCGAAAAAGTCATAAAAAGAAGTCAAAAAACATTTATAATGATCTTGATAAACAAGCTTTGAAAGCATTGTTTGGCACCCTAGACCAATTAACAACTCGTCTGAGGTAGATGATCCTAAGACTACTCGGTTATCCAATAAAGATTACATTCTCAGAGAGTGCTGCATCAAGTTAGCGTTCACAGAGAAGTAGCTCCCACATAAAAAAGTTAATTCTCAAATCTCCCATCAATAGATGACGTTATCAGCAAAGTAAAATGGTTCACATAGGTTTACATGAGATATCTGTACGGTTGCTTGAATCAAAAACGCTGAATGCCATCAAAATACAGTACGAAGTGGTTGAAAATGCAGTAAGCGATAGATTCATATTTCTGCAGAACACAATTTCATTTATTCATGTACAAAAATTCAGACGGAAACGTACCAAATCCTATAATTACATAGAAAGAGGAAAGTGACCCATGCATTATAAATACATAAGGCACTTGGACTGATGAATAAGGCATAGATGAAAAGTTGGGGTTAGTTGCATTTGTCGTTAGCTTGCATTGAATCCAGAAACTGTCAGTTAGACACTATATTATGTACTTATATGTGTGCATGCTTTAGAACAATATTGAGGTGATGAAAAACAAAGTAGGCAAACACATACAACCACTGAATGTTGGGATATACATTACGAGGAAGCTGAACTATAGATATCTTAAATTCGAATACTTGATGTATTACACTTGTCTAACGGTCCCTTAATTCTCATCTTTCAGAAGCACATAACTAGAATCATGAAGCAGATCTACAAAACCAGTCTAACTAAGGTACAGATAGAATTCCAAAGATTTTACGAAACCCAAATATCGAAGGTATAATCTCAGTTTCTTAACTACGGTTTGTGCTGTAGTACACCTATCCCAACAATAAGAATCGAATACATAACTCAGCAACAACGTTCAGCTGTGCGGATGAGGCAATGAACCACACCTTACTGTCTGAGGCAATATGGATACTGTGTGGTTGCATAAACGTCAATATATTGAGCAGTTTTCGAATCCATGATAAATCGGTTACGAGTTGACCATTTAGAACGCTGAACCACAGTTCCACGGTATATATTCATGACCAGTATGATACTAAACCTGTTTTAAAAGACAGTTGAAAAATACATTGTTTTCAAAAACTGATAACATGCTGTCATGCTAAAAAACAGAAGATTATTTCTGAAAACAAAGTACTTTTAGTTAGATGCCACAAAAAACCGTATAATTAGGGTTAAGGCTTTATTACAATCAGACATATTCTCACTAGTGAAAACGATAACAACAATATATGCAGCAGATATAATAATCAAAACATATAATGAAAATAGAACATGTTAAACATAAAGGCAAAGCACATTAAATTAAAGCAAAGCAACCAAAAACACAACAACAAAATATTAATAAGCAAATCACCCACATGCATGTCCAAGCCATTTTCAACAATTCCAGAAGCAATACTAGCCTCACGTTTCATACCCACACGAATAAGCGCTGTGTGGTGATTGCCAGGAACAACATTTGTAGCTTCACTTCTCATTGTAACACTTGGAGAGTTATTATCAACAGATGTAACAGAAGTGGATGCTGCTAACGACCAAGTGGGTGGTAAATTAGCCGCAGTAAATGGTAGCTTTTGTTGAGTAGATTGGCATTGTTCTGTGGATTGAGAATTTGATAGCGAATTCGCCAGCTGCGTAGTAGCACTGCAACCATTAAAGCTTAACAAGCTTGGCTGAAATAATGCGGAAATAAGCGCAACACAAAACGAGAAGCGCATACGCGTACAAACGAAGAATCAGCGACCGTGTGAGTGAGCAACAGCGCATCACCAGAGATGAATATATATATTGTGAGGATAAGGAAGGAGTGAAAGTCAAATCAGGAAAGCAGTAATATGAGAGCCACAAAAATAACTACTGAATAACTATTGATTTAAGGGCTAGAAATCATTGGGACTGCACTATAATAACAATGTCTTTAGACGAAGCAAAACGAATACCAAGAACTGTGTTATGGAATATCAGTTAGTATATGGAAATGCAGAGCGAATGTCTGGATCGCAACAATAATGCAAACACACTGAATAATCCTAAATGGGCATATGCAGGTAACTATTGGAGCGTTAATAACACAACGTTTATCATTGCATCCAAGATTAAGACCGGGTATGATTATTCTACCACAACTTTGGTACCAGTTGACGCCTATACGACAAACCTTAGCCAAATGAGATGTTGCTGAACTGGTGAGTATAACTAAAAGTAGTTAAATGATTGTTGCTACCATTAGTCTCTTAAGAGAACGAACATTAAGGTAAAACACCAAACTCTGGAAAATCGTAGACATGTCCACACACCCAGACAACTCGAGCACAGAACTTTTGAAATGCATACAACATGAAACGCTGGTAGCTAACATCTTAATATGATGGTTGAGCTTATATGTCATGACAACTTCGTCAAACTAAATTGCTTAGAGTCAAGTCAAAATACACTCAACAACCTTGTGCACGATCGTGTAGTAGGTAATGAGCCACACCTATATGGTGTGACAGCTAATGATACTATCTGACTGCCCAAACCTAGGTAGGTGGAGCGATGTCGAACTCTTGACTCACTGGTAGAAAATCGACTACTTAAACCAGTGAGCCACAGCTTGGAGAGCTTATTCATGTTGATTCAAACAAGTCAGCTGGCGAGTAAAGTTTAATCACAATCAACTGAAGATATCTTAGAGTATCTTAGAGTAACAAAGCATTTTCGTCAAGTAACAGCTTTCCTGATACCTTCAAAATGAAATTGATACAATATTTTTAACTAACACCATCTAACTGTTACATCACTGATAAGACTGTGTGAAGGGGTACGTGAAATGTGCCGCATATAGTTCTTAACAAGGCAAGTACATATATCTCATCCTGATGAAATCTAAAAAACCATTTAGAGAGTGGTTGTAACAGGTTTCCTTTCAATGTTATTCTTCATATTTGTTTAATTTACAAATAAATGTATGAGATAATAAACACATCACAAAATATTTCGTTTCAGCTGCTTACTGCAGATGCTTCATGACAAGATATTACTTATCCTCACCCAAACTTGTCTTTATACATCAACTACCAGACTAGTAGGATTTCATAAATAGAATTACTGATCATCTAGCTATAAAACAGATGATAAAAATCGGATTAAATGCTGCCCAAACTGATTACTGTTTTAAAGAACTGCATTCTAGGTGAAAGACTCCTTCTTTAAAACAAAAGATTATCAAGACACGTTCCATAACCCAAGCTGTACATTTGAATTAAGTGGTCTACATAAGACGCTTCAAGTATATTCCATTCACAAATTCGTCAAGCTAAGAAAGAAAGCGAACAGTGGACAAAAAAAGACAAACTGGGGTTTTACGATAATCACAATGAATTGAAATTAGTGGTTGCATTTATTCAGTCACCAGGACTTTTGATGATTACAGTTTTACAGTATCCACTCTCAAACAAATAAGCAATAAATGTGCAAGCAAGATGCAAATGCTTTTGCTTTGCAAGCTGTTACAACGTCAAACATATTTTACAACAAACTAAACACTAAAGCCACATATATCGAGAGGAATATGAACAAGTGTGACTGAAACCAAAACGAAATAACCATAAACAAACAAATTGAAGAGTCCACAAGAACTGGAACTTACCTCTGATGTAACAAAAGTAGGCCTATCACCATTCCTCGTTGATTTACAATTAACTGGTTCGTGGGAAAGTGTTGAGCCTCCTCCAGTCAGTGTGGATGAGGTTGATAAAAGACCAGGACCAGAACTAGTATGTTGCAGAACAGCTGCTGCTAGTAATGTTGATGCATTCAGAGAATTTTGATCAGAGAGAGAGTTCAATGGTGTCAAATACGTCCCATAAACTGAGCCTCCGACCGCAGGCTGTAACAGTGTAGTAGGTGGCCATCGGAGGGCTGCAGGACAAGTTCTGGTATTGAACTAAGAGTTGGTAAACCGGTTGGCAGTGTTTGTTGCAAAGGTTGCATTGGAATGAGATTGGAAGTCTAATTGGGGTAGTATAAAATATTTGATTAAATGTTTGCCGTTAAAAACTTCACATCCAACTATTCGTAAATACATTCACAAAAGAGCTCGATTATTTAATTCCACAGAATTGGCACAGGTGATCATTTTTGAAGAAAACAGATTATCAAATCATCACGTCATTAATCACGAAGATATAAGTTAGCTTATACAGCACACAAAATAACGATAAGTCGATAATATTGGTAAGGGGTCGGTGAATAACCGTGGTTACAAGCACGCACGTGAACACACACACACTCATACAATTTTAATAGTGTCACGCAATAATCATTGGTTCATATTATGAGAATTTTTCTTTGTGTTTTGCTTGTCGATGTTAGTATATAAAAAACGGACCTGCCAAAATAGCTGTGCACTTTCAGAGTATACATATACGTAACGACTGAGAGTATGAATGTATGAAGGGGTGTATTCTGGAGACTGGTGTAAATAGAAAGATAGACACGTCAGCTTACAAATGTCAATATATCAACTGCCAGCTAACGCTATGCTAATACTGCTCAATCAACAAAGTGTAATATCAATGAAGGTTTCGTTGAATGATTCCAGTTTGAGAGCAGATTCACAAACCTAAGCCAGCAGAAAACACCAAAAAGAAGGAACAAGCAAGTTACGAGAGTAGAGTTCACTAGGCATTGAGTGGATTACTCATTGGACAAAAATGAATAAATCTAAAGGTAAAAAGTTTAACCCTCACCCTTGGAATAAAAGTATAACCATTAAACTCAGAAATTGTGACTCCAAGGAAATAGATAGGTATTACGATGTGTAACACTATCAACCTTAGTATATCGTGCACTAGACCTGAACTAACCTTCAAAGTTCAAAGTGCACAGAGAAAACAAACAAACTTAAGACAATATCAACTGATTTCAGTGGTCTCAACATTCTACATACATCAGTAGAAAATGAATTAACCAAGAAATGCTAATTCTCAGAAGGATAAAAGGATAAACAAATTATTAGTAATTTTGAAGATGTACATAGATTAGCAAGTATGTTTGAGTTCAACGATCACTGGACATTTATTTGTTAAAGAGAGAATACCCCACTTCGTCTACACTAAATATTTAGCTGAACTATGTATGAAAGTTAGAAACATGTATAAAAGACTGGACTGTATTGTCATGTCAAGAGTACGGTAAAGTGTGTTCATAGAAAAGGATACTCAACATCGTATAGGAGATTTTTTTAGAAATGAACAAAATGCTCTAGTGGCAAAAGAATAAAACAATTACTCTAGTAACCTACCTTCAGTTCGGATAAACGTTGTTGACTTTCCAAAAGTTTTCTTTGCTCATCGCCACGTTTAATAATCGCTTCAATTTGATGCGGAGGTGGATGATAGTATTTACAGTAGGAAAATTTGCAGAGCTTCCGCTTTGTGAAAAAAGAGAAGGTTCAATGGAAATAAATATTCAGTAGTAAAAATGAATAGTACACCGAAAAGCATGCCTAAAAGAAAGAGCATTCGTGAATAAAACCGCGTGCATAACAACATCCAAGAGTCTCGTACACACAATAACTGGAGACTTGAAACAAGAGTATTCGCAACGCTAAGAAATTGGGAGATTACGAATTCTCTGAATTAACTGATGAGAAATTTTAAGACGAATGAAGTGTACTGGTGAATAACCTGAGTATTAACTACCAGTTGTGCTAGTCAGTAAGTAGATATTGCCACCCACATACCCATTTCATTTGTTTATGACCCAGATCGTCGGTCACATATTCAAACGATTTCAGAAAAGACAATTGAAATTCTCAGATCACATTAACCTATTCAACCACTTGAAGTGACTGTTGTATCATGAAAAGGTTCAAATATTTGAAAATTATTCATACTTTACATTGACGTTTTAACAACTACATGATCATCTCCTACACCGGCAGTGTCAGCGTTCCTGCTGGACACCGCTTCCTCCAGTTATGGTAGTTAGGAGTTGTAACCAAGGTTAACGATAGTAGATAAGTTTTTTAGCTTAGTCTTGTGATGGAACGTTCAAGAGCAAAACTCCAAGCGCTGAGAACATCAAATGATTATCGGATTCAACGTTTTCACTATGAGCCAATAATAAATCTACAAATAATAGTTTCTTCTTAATACTAAATACAAGCGAAATACTGATCCAACCTACTTTTCACATTCGTTTTGAACTTCACACTGAAGCATATTCACTAGACGTACATCCAGACCATAAATTAAAAACTTAACACATCTTACAAATATACTTAAAAATCTCTATTGATATATACAAAGTGAAATGATCGGAGAGAAAAGTATTCACCTTAATTTATTGGAGCAGTAACAATGTAACTATACACTTCATAACACACAGTACTACTTTGTCTATATGGAAGAGAGTATGCAAAAAAAGCAGCAAATGTCTTAAGGCGTGCATAGATAAATTGCACTGCAAATAAATTAGTTACATAGGAAGATGACATTCAGTAAACTAATAGTCAAAGCATATAATTAGAACACTAATGTACACTTGTTTGCTATATATTACACCAAAGATCACTTTAGGCTTACCATGATACTAAAAAAAGGCATAACGGTTAATATACTAAAACAGCCACCCCTAGTATTATGACATCGATTGGTAATTTAAATATACAGATGCAAGTCATGTTATCGACCAATCAAGCAGGTTTCACGCATCAAAATGAGTTTCATGTAAAACTGTACAGGTAAAGATGACAAATAAATATCCATGAGAAATGATGTCAGAATATTGAACCTAATGAAGACAGAAATGGAGATGAAAAATTTGCACAGGAAAAGTGATCAGATGACGCCTGACAAACACCAGATTAGCTCAAATAGAAGTCACAAAACAAAAAAATGTGAAAATTTACAAGAAAGCATAGTTTTTACACAGAGAAATTGGAACAAACCTAAATATGAAGAACCTCAGGCAACTGGAACGTCAGTTGACGCTTCGATAACTAGCTCACAACCACAAACGCACACAGCTAGTCGACCAACTTTAGAGTATTCAATAAGTAACGCTCCGAAAACGCAGAAAATGGAAACGATCACACTGTTCCTGAAAATGTTTTATACCGATCATCCTTAGGACATTCAAGATTAAATTATCCAACTTCTCACCAGACCCTGCAAAACCAACAGCCCTCACGCACTTCTAATCGAGATGAAAACTATTTCATACCCAGCAAACCAAAAATAAACGCCCCAAGAATGCTGCAAAATGAAAGTAGTGGTTTAGTCCCTGAAAATGCTTTCCGTCGACTAAAGCAAATGGGTTTAGCAGAAAATGTAGTGGAAAAATTATCTGACTTGCCACCTCCTGGAGATCTTGCGCCAAATGGATATCCAGGATTAAAAACAAGCAGTAAAAAGCCAGCCAAAAAATATCCATGCAGTAAGGACTACCAACTCACACGATGTTTATGTTGCTGGACAACATTCATAATGATAGTCATTGGCTTGTATGAGGTTGGCACGTTAATTTTGGCAATCTTATGGTACGAAGGGGGATGCATTGCAATAAGAATAGGTCTAATAATTTTGAATTTATTAGCTTTGATAATATTAACACTGGAATGGGTAAGAACTTGGTTGTGGCATGAACCTACAGAAAGACATAAACATAAAAATGTACGACCAGCAACCTTCGCAGATCCTGAGGAAAATATCGGATATGCACCCATCGTACCACCTGTGGGCATCGGACTGCCACACATAAACTCACAACCAATAGCCATTCCTACTTCTTTGGTAGGAGATACAATTTCACCAGCTACGAACAGTGAAGTGGACTTTACGTTTACTGGTTCTCACCAACGTTTGTACGATGTATCTCAGTTTGTATCGGCTATTTGTCTAATAGTATTGTACATTATTTTGGCGATAGGTGTATGTATAACACTTGCGGAATCGAAAATGAAAGCTAGGCTGTGTCCAAAATTTTCGACGATTGGTCTGAGTTATGGTATACTATTAGCAGCTCTTGTTGTCATACGAATAATACTTTGGTGCCAAAGTGATGCGTGTCAATCACTGTGTTACAGAGCTACAACGAACAAAGGATCTATCAAAGGTGCTTCTGTCCCAATTTTTCCCGCAAACCAGTTGCACCAAGTACTACCAGGGCTAGAACAGATGAATACGAGCAGCATTGGTAACACAAGGAACCCCAAAAAATAGGGTGGTTAGGTAATCTAGCAATATCTCCTGACCATAGTTATCATCTGACCATGGTTCAACCGATGCCTGTCAGATTTTCGCACTACTTCACACCTTAAAAGCTGTGGGGGAAAAGGAATAACTACATATAAGTGGAATAACCAGTAGACTCGAATGATATACTCCAGTAATAAAAATGCCTTATTTCTATAAACTCACAAGGAAATCCTCCTACGAATAAAAACATGATCGAATGAAACCAGACTTTTTATATTGATAAAAGTGGAAACTTCATCAGAAATAATAAACAAATGAAAACTGAATCTTTATATATTTCAGAATGGTTATCACTGTTTACCTTGATGAAATCATAACACACTGTTACATAACCATTGTCTACTCGAACAGTTACTGGCGGGTGAGCATATGGACATGCAGTTCCCAAAATTGTACAGTGAAAACTTGATCCATTCTCATTTTGGCCTGAATCAGTCGAACAGCTAACTTTCGTGTTAGGATTTTCCAATTTTATGCAACATTTGTCTTCGTTGATCTTCGATTCATTTTCAGACTGGTTGGAGTTAGTCTGTAAAGAATTAGATATCCCGAGAACCGATGCACATACACGTAGTTTAAGCCAGCGAGAGTCCCTGCCACCAGACGGAACATAATTTGAATGTACAGGTAAGGAAGACACCGAAGTTTGCTGACTAGTTATACAGCCATTGGGGGTAGAATGTAGAGAGATTAGAGATGATGATAAAGACGAAGATCCTGATAAGCTAGGGCTGTTCGCAACCCCCAAACTGAGGGTTTGCTGGTGAGTTTGCCATCGCGGTTCTGTCTGAATAGGAAAAGAGATGGTTGTAGATTCAGGATTATTACTGGGACTTGAGAAGCCTGCAATGGCTAGTAACGGCTTTGTAAGGAATGGTACCGCAGATTTTAGGGCAGTGAGATCAGCTTGATAAATTTCACTAGATTCTGAAATAGTGGCTGAAGAACATGGGATGGGAAACGCGTTCGAAAGCGGAGGATGCCTTTACATAAAAATGAACAGATAATAGCTAGGATGTTTGTAAACTGATCACTTGGATAAACAATATGAATGACGAAAAATAACAAGGTTACAGTTAAACTTCATTATATTCGCAAACAAATTCATTCACTGTTTATAGATAAGTCTAAACTCAAAAATATCTTTTAAAGCCAACTAACCGAGATGGTGTATTGATTTAGCCTAAGTGTGAATATCACTTGTTATCTTGCATAAAAGATTTCTGAATGACTTATGGAGACTAAAAACAAAGGTTGAAACTTGTTTATTGCTGTCACGAGAAAGCATGGATCATAGGGTCTGAACCATACGATCATAATAGGATTAAATTTTCCTAAAGAAATTCGAAAAACCTACATGCCTAAACCTTCAACTGTGATGAGGATCAATAACAAAAAGGTTCGATGTAAATGTTTTAAAACAACATAGGAAACATTTGTGCAAATGAACTAGAAAAATGAGTGGCTAGAAAAGTTTAAAACCCTTAAAGACTACAAGCGTAAAAATGTGAGAAACAACCATAACGTTGGAAACCTACAAAAAAAGAATAAATTTCAAATAAGCAAGGAACAAGTACATAAGATTCGAGAAGTCTATGAACCTTGACTTGAATCTTCCTTCAAACATAGTGGATGGAAATACTGAACTACCGATGTGAAATAGCCAACAGCTAATACAAAACACCAAATCAACAAATTGCCTGTTAGCATTATATCTGTACTCATAGTGTTAAGATTTTATCAACAACAGAGGTCGAAATTGTACTTCAAAACTGACTTAGTTGCAACTGGTGTGTAGAATGGTCTAGAACCATTGAATGTTAATGCGTGTTACGTCTGTCCAGACAACGGCGATAAAACAGGATAACTAGAAAAATACAAATGTCTTATGAAAACTGTGCAGTTAGACAATAACTAATGCACTTCTAAAATGTAAATAATATCACAAAAATATTCTACCAAGTTGTAAGAAGTTAAACAAAGTATAAACCTTAAGTTTAAATTGAATACCTCGTTGGAATTTGAGACAATAATACATCTACATGTATTTAACCGAAAAAAAAGTCCACCAAAACAAGATTATTAAAGATCTCGTTTTCATTAATCCTTAAAATAAAAATATGCATTCATCGACTGAGATGGTTGGGACACGTATTACGTATGCTTAGTCACCGGTTGCCTCGTCACACAATGTAGGCCGAAGTAGGCCCAAGCTGGAAAAAGATCTGAGGTGGCCAGACTAAAATATGGCACCAATGTATGAAGTCTTTGACTGTTGGTTTGAGCCATGTGGGATGATGCAGACTAGCCGGTTGGAGCTCACGGGACAAGAGGAGCCAGTGGTTGGAGACTCTAGGTGATATGTCTCAGAACCGATGTCAGTGGCGCAGATGTATACACACATTATCATCTTAACGACGCTATACCGAATCTCACTACTTTCTCATTCTTCGTTTCTCCCTTTTCGTGCTTTATATTTTTTTGACTGAATTTTCTCATCTTCATCTTGCGCCTCACTGTCTTTTTACTTGGTGTACTGATATGAACTGTGGCAACTCAGACCGTTACGCAGTAATGCCTGGTCCTATGTTGACATTGATGATGAATTTGTGCATGCATTTGTTTGAAAAATTACTTTGCTGAATACTACTGGGAACTTGGCCCTAATCAAACAGTAAACTCTAGGAACTTACAAATGATTACCGTTTAGTGCAAGCTGACACTTCACTTCAAAAGGTGATACCTTTTCTGAACTTAATCGTATTTTGGTGCCAAAAAGGCGTACTACACACTGAAAAGAAAATCGAGTTATTCAGTCTCTTTAGTACCAATAAGAAAACTTAAATGCATAATTAGCAATATGATCGAATCCCAGCTAGGCTATGAAGCTGTTGAACAGCTCAATCACACTAATGACTACATTAATGCTTAGTTTTGGAAATCTCATTGAGCAAAAGACAGGAACTGGCAATCGGAGAAATTAAAATGTCGTACAACCACGAGATATGCAAATTTTAACCTAATCATTGAAGATTCGCTGTTTGTTCAGTGGTCTGTATTTCATCTAGTAGTGTACAGGTGGAACTGTGGCCCAATAGGTCCCGAGATCGCTATTCGCTCCACTTACTGATATGTGGCCAGCTAATAAGTAATAGTAGTCTACTGCATGAATGTCTACATGGTTTCCGAATTGTATGTCGCATCTCATACAGTCAGCTTCAAGTTGCTAACTACATGCTTGAAATATCCTACGAAACTCGTCATGAAGCTGATGAATGGTAAATCAAACTGAAGTATAGTTCTAAATGATCTCGGATATGAATAATAACTAGAATTAGTTTTGGAACTTTATGATCAAGATGTTACTAACAAAATGCTGAAAGCTGTGGGTTTTTCACAACATTCTTGTGTTCACAGACTGCAACCAGTGAGTTCATTTAAACAGCTGCAGTAAATTTTAGGATACTAACTTACTACAGCCAAGTGCTACCTATTGCATGTAACCGCATGAAGGCCTAGCTCTACACCAACATCCTTTTCAACTGTTCCTAGTATTCACGAGAAAAAGTCACGGGTCGATGAAATAGGTGTATTGATGAAAAATACAAGGGTAACAGTAACACTAAGATTCTCTGCCAAATGATCTTTGAATTTCAGTAAATAACAGCAGAAAATATCATAAGGAACCAGAAAAAAAAAAGGAATCTTGGTTTGTTTTAAATAAACCAAGAATGTACTAAAGACTGGTTCACTCCTACCCTATTTTCTACTAATCCATACGTTCGTTACCTTGCTGAGAAAATAAAATACAGATATGTACAAACAGATGATCGAGTTTCGTTGCAAAGATCAAAACCCGAATTTATCATACATTAAAATGTTTCATACAGATCCGAATTTCAGTTTGCTGTTTCAAGTTAACTGATTTGACAGTGTAAATATTACCAACAGCTATGAAATTAATTCACATGCATCTTTATGTTATCCCATAATAACCCCAAATAGAGACTAATTCAAACAATCTGAGCTAGGACTTCGACTTCAAACGAGATGGGATGCCAGGTACAAACCACCTTCAGATGAAAGTGGACACTAACCAACTCCAATACGCTTTTGTATCATACATACCTTCCTTAACCAGTGAATCCTTCCATCCTCCTGACAACAAAACACAAGTACCTGGCGATTGTACAAACTGTTTATTTGTTGCTTTGTTTGTTTTCAACCTTGTGACCCATATTTCATCCCTTCTCAACTTTAGCCAGTCAAATGTGTCGAGTAAGCAGACCTCCAGATATATCGAGGGGTCAGGCAAAACTACTAATTGGCTAGTTGAATTTATTTTCAAGCATTAATTCTTAGACTCAAACACGTCTTCAGCTTTTTCGAAATGGGCAACTGGGTAACCTTTAGGAAGAAAGTATGACTCGTACCCCGGTACATAAAAAATCTAACAGGTGACTGAAGTGCATTACTGATTTACAACTATTTTCATTCTACCCTGTAACTTTTTTTGAAGTAATTTACATCACAAGATACTTATGGGCAAGCAAATACTACCAAAATTATATTCACCGGTCTCAGGAACTGCAGTAATAACAGACAAAATCGATGTAGAACCACATACAAAGTGCACCGGTCCAAGTCTCCACACTTCACAGCAGTATGTTAAGAACAAGTCAGTAGAGAAATTGATATCAAAGCAGACAAAAATGAATGGGAACAGAAAGAATTTGAAAATCAAGACTAGTGAAAATGTTTGAACTATAGAAGACGCCGAAGAGTGAGTACATCTCCACCCCCCTCGATCAACTTCCGGTTGTCACCAAGTAACGTCAATGATTTCTACCGTCTCGAGGATCCCAAGCAAATACTCCACACCTCCATACATGCTTCAGGCCAACAGTCAAATACTTCACGGATCGGCGTCACGTCTTGATCAGGTCACCATGACCTTTCTTCCAAATCAATTCTGCTTCGACTAACATTGCACGTCAAGATAGGCAGTGGCTCAGCATGCGCAACACATGTTCAAGTCACCTTAGTAGGTGAAGCACCAAAACCTCATTGAATGTCTTGTCTGCTTTACCTAGTATCCTTCGCCTAACCTCAGTATTGCTCACATGCTGATTCCATCTTACGTAAGGTATGCTGCAAAGAAACCTGTAATCTCTTTACATTTACTTTCAAAGGCTATGGCTCAGCAGTATAGCGAGGCAGAACAGACTACAGCAAATTATATTCGTCCTTAATCGGAAATTTCATCGGTGCCTGAGATGACGCAAGCTGGCAAAAAACAGACGGCTTTTTGTGCCCAGGGTGAGATCTCATCGGTAATTAGTCTGTTTGGTCTAGTGCAACTCTCCAGGTGAAGTGGTCGATGCATTCCGCCATTTCACCCCTATCTTTAAAGTAGACGTAGCTGTATATCGGTTTTGAATGATCATCTTACATTTGACAGGTGCAAAATGAATGTCAAACATAATCAGATTTCCTCTCAAGGTGTTTAACTAACTCCACATTTTTCCCAGTTCCTTCACTTACCAAGCCAATGTCGTCTGAGCATTCCAAGTCAACTAGATCAATGTGAAGCCGGAGGCACCTAGGGTTATGTCCGTTAATACATCAATAAGGAGGTTAAGCAGGAACATTGATGCTGGACACCACTGACTAGTTCTCGCGGTCTTATTGGTGTAGATACAGAACTAAAAGCTAACCCAGAATATACCCTGTTCGACTGAATCCTAGTTGGTAGTTGGTGTTATCCGAATAAACAGGACAGAAAGGACTGAAAAAAGGTAGTGAAACGCTGTTTTCTCTGTGATCTCTGCACCTACTGACTGCAGGTTGGATAAGATGAGGTGACGGATGTATTCTACCGAAAACTATCTAACCTAGTACTGGAAGCCAGACATTCAGATGTGGTCGTCATAGCAGGTGATTTCAATGCACAAGTGGGCAGACTAAGTCAGACAGAAAGGCACTTAGGTGGCACTTTCGGTATCCCAGTTGAACGGATAGATAAAGGTGGTCTTCTGCTATAACTGTGTTCAGACGACCACTTATTTCTAGCCAGCACCAAAATCATACAGAGACACTGTCCGATGTGGTGTCCACCAACCACAACCGAAAGGTGGGCCAAATTGCCATCAGTTATCGCTGGAAGGAGTCGTTGGTGGGTTGCCGCATCTTCTGGAATACTTGTTTGAACAGCAATCATGCGTTGGTTCGAGCACGCATATGTCTGAGCCTAAATGAAAGTAAGAAAATTACGGCAAGACCGTTGTCAGTGCAGCTTAGCGATGAGAATACTAAAGCTGCTTACAGGGGAAAACCAGCTCGACAGTTATCAAGACTTGACAAAGTCACTCATCCAGCAGAAGCCCGGCGCTATCTTCAGTCTTCTGTAAAGTGTCAAAACCGTAACCAACTGCTAAAATGTGGTCAGAAAGATCCAGTGCAACTCAGCAGCTTCGTCTGAATTAATGGGTGTGCGTGAACGCATTCCTGCAGGAAATAACTCAAGTGTAGATTCATAAGAAGCCTGCGCAATTACAGCAAGCAACAATAGGTAGAGAAGGGTTTAAACAATGGAAAAAGGGAGCGAAGATGAGTAACAGTAGACAGTCATTAAGAATTATCAAAGAATTCGGGGATAAAAAGTCAATGGAGAGACAACTGATCCCAAAAGATTATCTTTCAGTTCGACAATTAATGCAGTTTTTCTTCAACGGAATACATCCAACTTACCTAACAGCAAATAAGACTATATAGATTTTTGGTCATGACTCTGGAATATCCTCTTGTTTTAGTGTCAATCTAGATGACAGTGAACAGGTACGCTGTTACCTGTCCTAATGTTGGGCTGTATGACAGCCTTAAGTTGTGGTACTCACTAAGTCTCATATTATGAGGTTCAGCAAGGGCTGTAAATAAGAAAGGTGAAGTTTTGTCCTTCTATAACTCATAAAAACTGCAGAAACGAATGCAAAAAATGGAAGTATACTACCTTCCGATTACTCAATAGCCGTCAATCTGTTACTTAGGCTTAGAAGATTACACCATTTCAAATGGTGTACATTTGTCGAGTTCACCGGTGTCAAGGAGATAAAGACAGCAGTAATAAACTCAAAATATTCTAGCTCAGTTAGGCTGCACAACCTCTTACCAACTGTGCAGTTCTCACTGACCATCCAATCAGTATGAATACATATTGGTCATATTGGAGAACCAATAAGTGGTAACAACTCTCATCGTACAACTTAGCGTCACGCACAGGATTCTTTAGTCAAATGTGAGTCATATTTAGATTATGGAACTAATTATAGTTAATCAATACTTGGCAAATGGAGATAGATTCAACTAAGATCCACCGACCAAGTGGGGGAGCCTGGATGACATACCTACTAATGCACTGACATTGTATGGTAACCAAGTGAATGTAAGCGCATACTTAGAGCAAAGATTCACATAAGGAACCACACGATAAGGTTTTTAATGGATCATTCGGTTTGCTTACTACTTTGCCTATAGTTAAACCTCAAAATAATGGAGAATACTTGTAGCTTAGGTGGATGATTCTAGTTGTTCCCTACGGAAAGTAAACAAATTTTCTTTGCTTTACACTAAATCCACTTTTCTAGATGAAAGAAAATACTACTTCAGCAGTAGCTAGAATGGTCTTTGGAGTTGCGCACTTTCAAATCATCTTACTGTCATAAAGACGCTACAAATACTATGAGTATTCAGTTTATTCTTGATCCTGCTTGCAGCAATGAACTCGTTTCCTGTCGTCGTTTTAATTTACAATCGTAGCGTTAGTTGTAGCTCATCCACTTTTCGCTGAAAACCAACAGTTTTGCCACTACAGCAGTATATAGTGTGACGGAAGGAAAGGATAAGTGGCAACTTTCAAGTTTTTCTCTAGCGCTATAAGTTACTGGACACGAAAAAAACCACGAAAGCTTACAAATTCTTCAGTTTCCTCTCTTTAACAAATACTATGTAAACTGCAACAAGTTATACTGACATGAAACTGCTTCCTCTTCAAACTCAGCTTATCCACAACCCTATGCTAAAGTTAATTAGTAACTTATTCCCGTCATGCTATAACTGTTCCTTATCTACTATCAATAGGAAATAAGCGATTGTAAGGTTCAATAAATTCAAAAACTAAATTCTAAATAACAATTAAGGGATACCTACTTATGTACAATTCATTCTACCATAGTTCAGTTGACGCCACATTATTTGTCTTTTAGAGATAGCAACCAGATACAAGCTAACTACTTATCAGATATTTGGCTGAATCACGAGAATATGTTTAATCATTTAAAAACTTAGGTTTTAAATGGACCTCAGGTCAAGACCTGCTTTCTTAGAACTTTCATTGATTGGACAGTGAAGAGTACCCACTTAGAAACAATGAAGTGTACTGCATTGGGGAGTCTCCTAGGTTGATAATGACAGCGAAATAATCAATAGGATTGAGCTATCACCTAGGACTACATAACATGAAATTGGTTACCGTCCAGTGAATAGTCAACCTATATCGTACAATTTAACAGTATGTCAGTCATTGCTGGGATAGACCAAAGGTAGGGTATTAGGATGCAGAATTGGACGGTGAGCTAGGATCTCTGAAGCGACAACAGTTACCTCGAGGTTTTTCAGAAAAGCACTAACAATTATGAAACCTAGATACAGGGATTCTGGTTGATTGCCTCAACTCTAACCAGTTAAATTGAATACAATAAGCAATAAACAAAACCGCATGCTTGCACAGTGATCATACGAATGTCACCGCTATTGTTATTGGAAAATTGTATATGATGTTTGACTCACAACATGGACGTAACCAAGAATAATAAGTGATTCCAAATCCGGTTCAATGCGTCCAGTTAACAATCCAGTACGTTTGACCGGATATCAGAACAATCTGGCTTCATCTAGCCAAAGTGCTATTCATTGACCTTCAATCACATGTTTAAGGCTGACAAATAACTATGTTCAGTGGGGGGTTGACCCGATCAGTGATTGGACGAAAAAAAAGCTAAAACATGTATCACCCAATGGCTCATGGATTAATGTGAGAGAACCAGACATGTCTGCCTTTTTGATTGGTCAATTTTTCGTAAACTTTCTAGCCATATTGGCTGTCCATCCACGCTCAGTTTGACTACGCTCGAACGGTAATATCGTCACTGACTTTTGTTTATGTGTTGTAGGACTGCGTGCATTTGAAAAGAATTTTGACTTTTGCCCTCAGACCACTTTTTGTGTTGCATTAGTTTTTGCGTTCTTTTAAGGCCATATAAACATGGACTTTAACGGGACGATACTTTATTTCATTTGTTTTTGTTCTGTCTATTGATTCCAATATACAGGGATGAAATCAAAGTTTATTTGAAAATAATGAAGATCATCAGGTGGTTTTTATTCATGAAGTCCTGTTGCTGTACATTACAACAAACAAAATGGCTAAGGCGCCTCGTGCTCAAGTATTTTTTAAAATCCAGCCTCATATTTGTCTGCATATATGCATGTGAAATTAGTTTGACTGCTAGGTTTAGATCACGTGATAATCCCTTCGGTAAAAATTGCATGTCTAGATATTGCTTTAATGGCTATGACCGTCAACAGCCAACAAACAATTGTGACCTTGTAGGTACATGTATTATGCTGTCGTTGATTGAAACGAGTTGGTCGATCTCTGTTGACATATTGACTCTTGCGCGGATGTCTCGTTATTGCTTGTTTCAATTAGGTATTGATGATGATTAGTGGCAAGCAGCGGGATCCAGAACGCGTGTTTCGTCCTATTTAGAACTTATCAGCTGGGTGTGACAATAGAGGCCAACCAATTCCATCGTATCAAAGACGGGATAATACAACGTAACAATCATACCTGTCTCACAAAAAGTGGCTATTGTGACTTGGTGGTCCAGCGGATAACGTTCTGGAGTTAGAGGTGATCGGTCCTGGGTTTGAGTCTTAGTAGGGACAACACGCTCACTGGGAGGTAGGTACCACCAGCTGACGAGTCCCTAGTAAGAAGAATCCACTAGTAGCCACTATCCATCACTAATATATAGTTTTAGCCCACGCTGAACTGGAATTAGAAGCTCAAATTCTTAAGGAACCTTATCGCGAATGTAGATGATATAAAATCTAACTCGGCCGCACAAAAACTTCAAAACAATGGTGATTACCAGAACTTGGATAATGTTTAGAAGAAGTCAATATTAGTCACCATTCAATGATCTTTTCTGTGGCCTTTTGACATGAGACATATCGTCACTAAAAAACCTAGAAATGCTAAAAAGTTATTTTAAAAACCACTGGAAGCACTTTCCTAACCCTAAAAATGACTTCATTCGTTTACGATAATCTCAACAATAGTTCTAGGCAGAGTTTTGTTACTATAAGAGATTTATTGATTTAAAGTAACATTGGACGTTGTTTTGTTTTGATTTCGCTTAAGTACATCATTTAGTCGGATGGAATTCCACTTATGCGTTGATATAAAGGTCTCGGTATGGTTTATATGCTTGATTTTGAACCGTGAAACCAGTGAGCTGACGGTTACTGTAGTGGGCATTAGACTACTTCGGCCAAATTAATATGCCCTCATACCTGATACTTTTAATGACTCCCTATGATTAAATTGTGACTACCTTGAAATGTCAAATCAGTATCAGAACATGGAACAGCTGATCAACTGCTGAACTCATTGTGCACATTTCCTCTAAGGTGAAGGGAGCAATCGTTAATATCCAAAAGATGCAAGTGGAAGTACCTACACACTAAACAGTCGACAGACAATCGAGAACAAAACAAAGACCACATAACACTCGATAAACTCTTGTCACTGTACAGAAGGCCTTAGTTCTATACGTATAAACCTCCCCTCGGAAAATTATATGACACCGTTGTATAATAACATCAGATGAGTTGTGATACCTCAATAATTCTTTGTACCAACTTTTTGTTTTTGAAAATTGGTTTTCTGTAATCTTAGACTATAGTAGCGATTATTAGTCATCCACTAACATTACAATATTCTTTTCAAGAGCTTAGAAGCAGGGATATTTTAGACACTTTCAAAGTAACGTGACAGTAGTTAGACAATTAAGAACACTTAAGATCGGGCAAACCGACTTCGCTTAAATCGTTATTTAGTAAGACAAAATGATAGTTTGCTGACGATTACAGTTAATGAGCATACTGCTTCTTGCTATTCACTGTTAACCAATAAAGCTAAGTGGTATGTAGTAAATAATCATGAGATTCTGTATAATTGATTCTACTTAGCACTGAGCTTTAAATGGTGGATTCAAAGATGTTGACTGGCAAACAAAAAATGTGACAATAATCCTAAAAATGTTAAGCGTACAATCCCTTGGGAATTACCTCTGTGTTCAAACCAACCCATCTCTCTAAAGAGATGATTATAATATGTCAGCTAGCCTATTTCATATGACTTCCTAACCAGATAATCTGATACATCGGTATATGACACTCTATGCTGGATAGTTTGTATTGATTGGGAGAAAACCTCTATTACGGAAAACTGTTTAGCTTGTATTATCCACTTAAGTAACGAGCTATTCACTACTCATACACCTCATAGATAAGGTCCATGATTATAGCTATGACCAACACAAGTTAGAGTGTCAGAGTGTTTGAATTAAAGTCCATTTAGCTGCTGAGAGTCAACAAACACAGGACATATTTCTCGAAAATATTGGTTATATTTATTTACTATTTAACGATAGCGTACATTACATTCTTAAGAGAAGTGGCATTGTCTAAATCTAGCATTTCAATGTTTATACAACACTGATTTTATAAAAACCAGGAAAAATAAGGCATTTATATGAAGAACTAGATTTCTAACGCGGCGTACTAGAGAAGTCACCTATGACAAAGGTACTAAATTCCATGAGATTTGCTTCAGTAAAACAACTCAAACTAACCAACACTCATAGATTTGATAATGGATAATGATTGAAGGGGAAATTAAAACCAAGATTGCAGCAAGATTCAAACTAGTAGGCTCTGTGTTGCCTGCTCGGTGCTGACCAGATCTTAATTTCACTTCAGTCATCAAGAATTTTACCCGAATGTGATGTGAATTTATTATGCGGTGTACATTTAATTAATCGTCATCACCGTCATCATCAAATGATGAAATTTGGTGACATGAAATGAAAACGAGACCTGGAACATTAGTGTTTTAGTCCTTTGTTTCAAACTGTCTATGGTATATCACCTCTATAGAATGTCTGAAACTCCAATAAATCAAAAGTCGGATGGAATTTCACATTACGACCTGAAATTAGTTAGGACACTATCATGAATCATTAGACAGTTTTTGTTTCCTGGTGTAATCCTCGTAAGAAATGCAAGCACATGGCTGCTAATGGGATAGTGGGCGGAAAATTCGAGTTTGATGGTAAGCCCCTTCGACTGAAAACACTGAAATGGATAGATATCACACTATATGGGCAACTGAGCAAATTTTGAATGCATGAACGATAAAGTTGCAATCCAGTGGCTGAAAAAATTTCTTGGCACTTTATCCTATAGGGTTGTGTTTGTCCATCGCTTGAGATTCCTCAAATAATGACCGAATTTAGAAAGAGACCTCGACTATGGTATGAAGTAAATCGGTAGCCATCAGATTTCTTGGCACGTGTTCTACCTGCTCTACCTACCTGAGCAATCCCCATGATTAACAAGTTTATCGTCCCACCAACCATTTATCCTGTCTTCTCATCTTAAAATCATATTGATCTAAAAAGTGGTGGTAATTAATTAACCGATGGTTAGACTATTTGTCATAGCACCGCTCGGCAATCTGATCTTGATATACGGATGAAAATCTGGAAGATTCAAATAAAGATAATAACCAATTATCTGTTCAGCCTCTTAGATCTGTTAGTAGAATACTATGCATTAAGATCAGCCTACAAAAAAAAAGGCCTATTTTTATGAAATTAACCACAACCAGAAGATTGAAAAAAGCCGATTCGCGATAGCTTATAGAGAATCATAAAACAAAATACTTCATCCGTGACCATTAAGTTGTTGATATGGACTGGAAAGAGACTAGAAATTTATCTTTCCTGATGATATAGTTACACGCTCAATGAACATATTTGTTTAAAACGTTTAAACAAATGTATTTCTCTGGTTTTATCTTCAGTGCGTTCACGTTAGAAGGAGTAAATCCCTACATTTCTAATACAGATAAACTATAATGGCAGTATGATACTACTGTGGCAGGTGAAACAACTAACCTTCAAGTAAAAAGGAAATAAACCACTTCACTCACCAGGTCGTTTTATTACTTATTGAGTGCGTTATCTCGTGGGTTACAGTGAATTCCAGCTGATAAATCTATTACTGCTTTTGGTTTGTCAGTTTGATGCACATTTACTCCAGCGTTGACTATCCTATGGGGATATCCTTATTTGTTACTGACTTTAATAAACCCTAAGAGTAGTCGCTGAAATGGTTACAGATATGTTGAATGATAACCTGGCATTTCCAGCCTAACAACCCCAAGTTAGATTTGATGAGGAAACAAGTCAGTGATTTTACTGTGAACCTTTACTGATTAAATCAAGCACCAGTATTTGAGCAATAAACAAACAAACAAGCTTAATCCTCTGAAAGTTTTCTGAAGCCATAGCCAGTGAACACCTCGAACTTGATTTGTCTATTCAAAAGAAGATGTAGTCAACCTCTGTCTACCTTCGTAACCTTTCTTGACTGTTATTTGATTACATCATCTTCCATCAACCTTAGATGTTTACTCCTTCACTTGTATTGAGTTGTGTAA